TATTGAAGAAACTGAGAAGCATATTATAGATCAAACAGAAAGCAAAAAAGACTTAGTTTTGTGGAAAATATGTTAAAAAGCATGAAAAAAAAATGTTTCCAACATTTTGCTTCATAAGCACTACAAAAATTTTCTTAATCAATTTTTTTTTTTTAATTTTAATTGTTGCACAGGTTTCTAGCAATAATTGGCTTTAACAGATTGAAAAAATATCAATTAGTCGACGAGTTATAGCCAAAAAACCATATAAACAATATGCTGAAAATCGGCATTTGACTATTCGAACTAACATAAACAAACGCCGCGATACGGGTCTTCTAATTTAGCCTCTATTTTCACCCCTCACTCTCAGAATCGACCTAACTTTTGCAACCTGAATTTGTTCCACAGTGTAATTGTAACTGCATGAGCGTGTGATTTGTTGTTGCTAGCGGTACATCAAATACACATGCAGCAACAACCTGATACGCCAGCCTGTACTTGAGCGGAAGTTCGAATTCGTGCATGTGTGTATGTGGGTATACTAAACACCCATGATGTTGCATAAATGCTGGCAACAGCGTATAAGAAGTCAGACAACATGTATTGCTAGCAACATGTGTCCCGATGAGTAGTATGAGTGTGTGCGTGTGAAAGCGGTATCTGATACTAAATCTTCGGGCCGAATTGCGGTTTGCATGGGGGAAATTTTCCGGCTTTGTCACCCTTATAAAAAGCCTCTAAGGGCTGCCAACGGCATTAAAATACATTGGTGGCGTGCAAAGTGGAGTCGTGTTTAAAGCGAAAGTTAATGCGCGGAAGTGTTGTGAAAGTAAATACTATAAAAAAAAGAATATACATATGTAGATGTTTGCAGTGGTAAAGCGAGTTAGAAGCTATCCCGCCAACTGTTCGGTTTTCGCCCAAAGTGAAAGTAACGTAGGAAAAGGCTAGAATTGGAGGTAAGTAAAGTATCTTAAAAAAGAAAGAAAAAATCAAAAAAAAAAATGCTTAACCACTTGCCTGGGACCTACTATAGACGCATTCATACATGCAGGCATGATGCGTATATATCTACGTGTGTATGTGGGGTGTATGCATGCAAATATGCAAAATCAGAGCCCTGAAGTATTTTTAATATTGTTGAAATATATTTTTGCGTTTTAGGTCGCCAGCAGAGGGGACACTAAATGACCTCCAGCTAATATCCTGCAAGAGACACGCCATATACGGGCAAACAGCGCGTTACCAAAAACAAAAAGAAGGGGGGGACAAAAAGACGTTCATGGTGTCTAACCACAACACTGATGCACAATTACCAGCCGTCACCTGCGCTAAATTGGTTGAGAAAAGTATCCAATTTATAAGCCTTCCTGAAGGAGTCATATACTTTTGGGAGGGGACCATCGTCACTGCTGATACACCCCCGCGAGTTTTCTATCAACAACATCTCCAGCTGATTGTGATGCCCAACAAAAGTGGGTCAACGACCGTCAACATTTTCTAATCGGGAGAAGCGCAACAAAGATCATCAGCGACGCAGGAGCGGGCTGAATTAAAGGAAGAGTGAACCACCAAACCAACGACTACGTGGGAGCCGCCAGAGCGCAGCAACGACACCACCAACGTATCGCTCATCACCAGAGCTCAGCACCAACACCATCAAAGTCCCACTCAACACCAGTCCCAGCAGCAACGGAGCAGCAGTAGCACCTATACGACGTAACTCGGAATTTAATATATTTTTGTTTTTACTTAATCTTTAGTTTTCCCGGAGTATTTGAATTCAATTATGTTAGTATTAAATATTATATTCGAAATTTTAGAGTTAGCTTGAAAGGAAAGCGATCATTTGTTAGTAGTCTTTTTCATTAATTTCTGTAAGCATTACTTACGCTCTTTTATTACAGCTCGTTGGTAGCTTAGCTTAGTTTCCTCTTTAACCAAGTTCAGGCTGAGTTTGCTTGAGTTTTACACATTCTATTTTAGGGTTTTCATTTGTTTGTTTAACAGTGATTCTTTCGGTTTTTTGCTTTTTATACATTTCGCTTTCCCATCGTCAATATCGGTAATATAAACTTTTTGGGTCACTCTTTTTATATTCACTTTTTGCCTATCAATAACATTTTTTTTTTGTAACTTTTTGAATTCTTTGTTTTTTTAGTAATTTTGCCCGACTGTTATAAGCGTAACAACTTGGACTACTTTTTGCGTGAAACCAAGTTTAATAGAAATGAATTATTTCACGTCAATTTATATTCACTTTTGTTTTTTTATGCATTTGTATATATGTATATATATATATATATATCTATATACATATATATGTATATATATATATATATATATATCTATATACATATATAGGTATATATGTTTTATTTTGCACTATTATATATTGATCACGCGTTTTAACCACTTTCGTTCTATTCCCGCGATCATGAGCGACTGATAGGCCGGCTTAGGACTAGAATCATAGTACTACTACGGCACGTGAACACATGTATGTATGAATTCTTCTCTCCCACACAGGCTCTTCTCCGGAATGTTGGTACCATCATCGGACAGGTGAGTGAGTAAAGTTTTAACTATTCTTTGTTTTCTTACATACACATATGCGTACGTATATACTTACCTAGATTTTTTGGGATTACGGTGTTGTACTTGCGTATGTACATTGTTTTGAGATATCGCGGTAAAATTTACATGAATGATATAAGGGATTAAATAAAAGATCGCGGTATTGAGAACCGTTTTACATCAGCTGGCCGCGTTGTAATTTTGTAGAGAAATTGATTTTATGTTGCATACTGTTTTTTTTTGTTTCTTCGGTAACGTTCTTTCGTTTTGAGGATAGTTATTAGTATACTCAGGTACATATATCATTCTTATACATGCATATGTTCCTGTGCTGATTTATACATGTATACGAATTTATATACATATTGCGCCTGAATTGGATTTCCTTGTTTACTTACTGTATGTTGAAAGAATATTTAGGTATTAGGGCGGTAGTTAAATTTGAATGAAGATTAGTATTTAAGGATTCAATTTTGTTTGTTTTATTGGATAATTTAATAAAAAAAAACATGAGTTATGGGGGAAGTGTATAGTAACAAAATGAGGCATTAATTTCTTATAGTTGGTGTGGGTGTTGCGCTTGCGCACGGGGACACGGCGGTAATGACAGACAATAGGACAGATTGACTTATGGTGGCAGTTTGACTGACCAACGGACTTCGTCAGGTTAAGGGGGCGTTGTAAGTTCAGAGGAGTCAGCACAACGCCCATCGCTTCGCGTCAGTTGAACGCTGATGAGGGTGGGTGGACTCCCCCTGACGGAACTGGACTTTTCGTTTCGTTTCTCGTTATTTCAGCTTCCTACTTTGCTATCGTACTCTATTACCCATATTCGGCATGAGAACATTGTTTTTGTTAGTGTAGCGCTGGCGGGGCGAACGCAAAAGAACCCCCCCAACCGATGAGCTACGCCTGCGACCGCAAGCATGCCGACTTGCCACTCGCCCTTGCCACAAACCTGCAGCTACATAACAAACCACACGCTCGCCCCCTTACATTTACGCAGGATACAGCGAATACACAGAAGCGCGAATTCCACTAGTATTTAAAAAGTTAAGTTTTTTATCCACAGTATCACAGGACCAACAATCATTCCAACTTACTCTTGACAAATCTTGATACAGAACTTTCACATTGATGTACTTATAATCACGACACATGAACGTAGTTCTAACAGAGAGCGATTAAACAAGACATCTACCGTACAGAAAATGAGATCATGGTCAGATACAAAGAATATTTGATCAAATTTGCAAACATGATTGAGGCTAGAGGTGATAAAATAAGCTAGTAGGCTGGGATTTGAGTTGTTGGCAAATCTCGTCGGTAAAAGTTTGTTTACTATTGAAAGACCAGCAGTCAGCACATGATCACATATTTTGGCAGTATAAGAATCATTTACAGGAGATTCACATTAAAATCACCACAAATAACATAAAATTCTTAGTCAATTAAGTACATAGACAATTCGATAAAAAAGGAATCTAACAAACAACATTTATAAGGATTATAGACACATGAAACTAAAACACTTGGTTTGCCATCGGAAACCTCAGCAATAATTAACTCCGTTTCAGTATTGGAGGATAATGCCAAAGAGTTAATCTTTAAAGAGGATTTACAATAAATGACAACGCCCCCTCCTCTTTTATTACTCCCGTCATGGCGAACAAAATTATAGCCTGGAATGCTGTAATAAAAATCCGAGACATTGGCGCTGAACCAGGTTTCCGAAACACAAATAAGATCAACCAATGATCCGTCAAAGACACTTCTTACGTAGTCCAGTTTGTCGCCGCTAAGGCTTCTTGCATTAAAATGAGCCACACAATATGTCTAGCAAAAGTTTGTGATTTCCACCAACGCTGTTATTAACTAGGTGTAGTGACATCAAACTTAGAGGAGAAGAGAAAACTACAAGCACAATAGCATACATGCGTAATGTAAAAAAGAATAAAATTGAGAGTGAGAAGATAGATAAAGAAAATATAGTGGATTGAGAAGAGGTAAACTATGTTAAGAGATATAACAGAGATATTAATACTATTTGACATGTGCAAAACTGTCATGAGCCGCCGACCGCAACCCGTTGAACATCCTCCTTGGTAACAACTTTTATTGCATCCCCTTGTGGCTGTGCACGAACGAAAACAGTACCACGAAAAGAGAAGGCAGGCAATATACGCTTTTGCTTCTTTAGCTGCAAGGCAAACTGAAGAACCTCGCGATTGCTTTTAGCAAGACTCCCATGTATGTATATGCGCTCGTCAGTATGACGACCAATGTCTCGCAAAAGAATGCCCCTCTTATTCTGCTTCACAAATCTCGCAAGCGCCATGAACAGCAACCGCCGATCAGTAGAAGAGACAAATTTGACAATTACTGGCGCATTTTTAGCGTTGTTACCTTTGCGCACACGAAAGGCAGCACGGAGAGGGTACATACAAAACCTACTGATGAAAAACATATTTCGGTCTCAACAGTTTTAGGCAGAACTGTTAAAAGGTAGTCATAAGCCATTTGAATATAATGACCCCTATCTCCTCTATTACAAAATATTTGAACTTCTTTTACTGGCACGTCGGATAAATTACATATACGTTTTTTAGATTTGAGGAAGTTTTGCGTAGATTGATTTAAAAAATTGGTGACAGGTAATAAGATCAACGGAAAGAAGGTCAATTGACTTTATTTCCCACCCTGGTGCGAAATAAAGTCAATTGACATTATTACCTTTTTAAAAACGAAATAAAATCAATTGACATTATTTCTCTTTCAAACATTAAATTTGCTTAGCTTCGCGGCGGGCCGCGTCAGCGCGCGACCGGCGCGCACACCGCGTCACGCTACGCCGCGGGCCCCCCGGCCCCCCTCCCCGTCTCCCGACGTGCTGTAGCGCAGGTAGATTAATTTTTTGTATACGTTGAAATACAATTTTTATATATTTTAAACATCGAGGGCTTATATTCAATAATACCCCCTATCTGCACACTTTTCACAAAGATGAGATTCTGATATAAAAATCCACCTAAGCTTTAACTGTCATCAGTGATATTAATGCTACCTTATATAACGACAGGTAATAAGTCCCAGATGGTTTCTAAAATCAGAAATTAGTTTTTGTGCAAATTGCAGATAGAGGGTATTAATGAATTCAAGCCCTCGATATTTCACATTTTTATATTTGTAAGTTATTGGAGGCAGGGATGCCAACTTGGCTCAAACCGTGCCATTTGTTCCTATTTTATTTCAAATGGCACTTAATTTTTCAATTTGGCACAAAATGCCAAAATGGCACTTTTGTAAAAAAAATAACATTTCAATACATTTTTGTGAAATCCTTTGCGTGCACTTCTTTTTCTCAACTAAAATTTTCTAATTTATAAAGGCTATTCAACTGGTTTATCTTATTTTATCATTGCACTTTTGTTTTGAAAATGAGGCATTATTTTATTGCTAAATGTGAGTGATTAAAAGGAATTACACCTTTTTTGGCACTTTTATTTTTCTATCTGGCACATTTTGGCACTTTTTTTATCCTCAATATGGCACCTCAAAACTAACGAGAGTTGGCAGCCCTGATTGGAAGATTTCTGCTGTGTTTTGAGGCAACAACTTGTCTGCAGTAAAAAAGCATATAATTTGTGTTTCAAAAGTGTGTGAAAACCAATCCATTAACTTATATGATCTCGGTTCCGATATTAAATAATCAATAATTGTTTATACCCGCATTTTGGCACATTGGCTCGTTGAATGTGCCATCTAATAAATAGTGTCGTCGTTCTCCTTAGCTGCTTTTAAATGACTGCTGGCGGAGACATAAATACAGTGTAAGAAAATTCTTTTTCTAGAATTGTTTCCTTATAGAAAGGTTGGGTTCTTTTCCACCTTAGACATTCCGAATTCATTCAAAATATGCTAATTTAAAACACAGAATTCTTTCAGTGCTCCTCCGGGGTTTTTGGACATGTACTGTTTCTTCAATTTAATAGTGTTCGCTTTATTTTTGTAGAAACGAAAAATGTTTTGCATGTTATGGATCATTTCTCCACTCTTTCTTCAAATATTTCTCGTATTCCAGCTGTACGCAGGAGTTTAGTTTTTCGCATCGTGTTTTTACATATTCGTAATTTATATTCTTTTTGTAATAGAATCAATTGGAGGTAGTTCATGATTGTGTGTGGATTAATATAACAACACTGAGGATTTGGCAAAAGCCTTTTTCATCTATTAAAAAACAACACTTACGGGGCAATGTTTATTGTAAGAACAACATTTTTTTCTATGAATCGACATACTTTAAGCATTGTTGACGCTATTTCCATTTGAGGAGCAGAAACACCATGCTAGGAGCATATCACATCGTTACGAGAGCTATCTGATATAAGTGTCCACAATATACTCAACTTCATCAACCACGCCAGTTTGTTATAACATATTCATTCGAGGTATATGGTATCAAAATGGCACTTAGCTGCTACCTTTATAACCTAATCTAACCCTGTGACGGGCGTGACATTAAAGTATGCTTCGCTTCAATATATAACAAAATATTTAGTACTCGCACGAAAAACGACGAATTTTTCTCTCCATTGACGGTTTAAACAATAAAGCAAAAAGCAATAAAAAATAACAGTAACAATAAAGAAAAAATTTAAAGCAAAAAGACAATTTTTCTCTCCATTGACCGTTTAAGCAATAAAGCAAAAAGCAATAAAAAATAACAGTAACAATAAAGCAAAAATTTAAAGCAAAAAAGACAATAGACTTCGAAAATCAATTTTGTCAATTTAGAAGAAAATTAACCTCTCATATGAGTTTGTAAATGGTTCATCCCAAAGTAAAAAAATATCTGATTTTGAGATAAATTTCCAAATTTTGGCTTTCAGTCTTGAAAGTTAGGTTTATTTACTCTTACTTACTAGAAATAATGTGGTCAAATTCTTGAGTTTATTTTCTTTTCATTCGGTATCAAGTACCGTGGAGTGAGCTTTTAGTTTTATTTGTTTTATTTATTTATTTATTTTCTTTCTCAGCTGTACCCCAAGTACCCCAATTGGTTCTTATCTGTACCCCTTTCGGCATTTTAGGTCTGACAACCCTACCCACGATACTGATTTCAAAATGGCCAGGGTGGGCGATATCGGGAAGTTCTTTAAAAATTTTGCTGACCGGACGGGAAAAAACCTTTTCCCGACACTGCAGATAAAACCCGCAACCTCCGCGAATTCAGAGAATCTCCCTTAAATAAGTTTATTTAAAAAAATACTTTTTATGTTTTGTTGGTACGAAAACGAACATCAAAGCAAAAAAACAAATATCGGAAGATGCCAGATTTTTTATTATTTAAAATTAATTGGAAATGCATTATTGGTAGTTTTCGGAACCCGCGGTATAACTCTGAAAAAGGTCGGGATGGGCGGGTTCGGGACTTAAAAATTGATTTTCAGGATGGGCGTGATCGGGATTGAAATGTTTGTTCCGCGCCCATCTCTAATCTGATTTTTTTTGCGACGCACAATGGCCCGGTTCATACAAGTTGATGCTCAAAAGTCTTTGACCAGTTTTTTTCTCCTGAAAATGATGTAGACATATCCTAAAGGGAAAAAATATAATATCATTTTTATAAAATTATTCCTTTATTTTGTGTACTAACACTGATTCAAATTTTTTTTATTTTAAATTGAAAAATATGTATTTAGTGAAAACGAATAAAAACAGATCATCCGCGTGCTCTACTTTCTCCATTTAGTCACTTACTTCGTGTTCTTAATTCTGAAAAATAAAATCATTGTACATTTATAATTATCTGATGGTTATGGGCCATAAAGATTACATAAAATAGAAACAATGAGAAAACGAAACAATGCATGATGAAAATTTAATTCGTCTTCGGAATCATCTGATGCAGTTTGTGTATGTTCAAGATTCTCTTCTAAAAGCACGTCTCTTACTTCAGGATAAAATGATTTTTTTTTTATGTTTGTAAATGCCTTAAACTTGTAATAAGAGGATCGGAAAAACAACTAGACAGTGAAATTCATCTTCAAGTTTAGCTTTATTTGCTTTAAAATCTTTATTTCGCGATTTCTTTGCCTTTCACTTAATTGTCCAAGAGGAAGGAGGTTCAAAACAATTTCAGCACCATGCATTAAAATTTTGTGCACCGTTGTTGTCATTGGATGTCATGGATAAAGATTGACACACAATTCACAGTATCGACAAAGCGTCCTGAATTTTATATTATCTATTTTAAATCCGCTGGATACTGTTTGCAAGTTTTTTCTAACCAGACTTTTTCGGATTCATAAAATCAGTTTTTGTGTCTGTCGCATCTATTTCAGTTTAAAGTAATGTAACTTTTGAAATTGCGCAAAGATTGCTTCTTTTCGAGGCTGGGCAGCTGGTTTGGATTGAAATATATTCGTCCATATCGCTGAACATGCTTTGCAGTAATTTAGAAAGGATTTTAGATACTATTTTACAAAAATCCCGATTTTTAATGAATAAGTGGGCTCCATCTGGTATAAAAGTTATAGGTATTGAAATAAAGAATAAATACAGACAAAATTTACTATTCTCTTCATTTAATTGGAATTTTTCTTAAAACCCTACCACGTGGTACATATTTTTGATAAAATAATGAAAGGCTGTGCCTGATGAAGTGCTTGAGCAAATCTTTTAAGCTTACTAATATATAAAGCCTTGCGGTTATAATTAAAAAAGATTCATAAAAAGAACCTTGCTCATTTTGGTAAAAAGGCGAATTGAAAAACTCACCATGAAAAATATTAATTTACAAATTATTCCTTATATCTCAGAAACTAATGAAATTATGTAATGATGAAAAGATGTAAAACAATCAACACACATTGCATAATACCTTCTAAGCTTATAGTAACCTTAAACATTATAAAACATTCTTTAATAACACATGAACTCGCTTTCGATATTGGAAAAAAAAAATTCTGACTGAGAAGTAAACCTTGAGCTGTTAGCAGTTAGGAACCTAATGTTTATATACTTTGTTATGATTCTGCTGGTATATATTTTACCACGCTTTTATCAACTTGCAATGTTGTATGTCCAGACCACCATTTATACTGGGAGAAAATTTCTCAACTGGATCTCGGATTTCAGTCAAGATGGAATTTTTGCGTGAAAATTTGTGAGTAGAGAAGTTTATAGATGTGAAAGGGATTCTGAGATTTTTTTTGAATAATTTGAATTTTTAAACTTTTTATAAGCAATTACATTTTTAAACAATATTTTTTTCAAAACTCATTTTCTCTTAAAATATTTAACGAAAGTTGATGAAATGATGAAAGCGTAGTGGCATTAGAGCTTTAAAAAATACTTTTATAATTTAGAAAAAAAAATTTAATTGAAACACTATAAATATTCAAGTTACATTAAAAATATGTTCTCAATGAGTGTTTTCCATTTCGTTTATATTTTCAAAAGCTGC